AGCCCGGGGGGGTGACATGTCCCCCCCAGCAGTAACCCCCCCTGGACGTGGGGGGGCAAAACCTCGTTAAAAAAAAATTTTTTTGGGAAAGGGGCCGGCGGGGTCCCCCCCCGGGGGGTTAAGGTTTCGGGGGGGGGGGGGCGTTTAAAATAGGGGGGGCAAAAAACCCCGGGCTCCTGGTTGGTTTAGGCATCCCAGGGTCCCAGGCCCATGCGCGGGGGGAATCCCGGGGATTGGGATCCCCCCAAAAATTCCCCCGGTTCCAAAACCCTCCGGGGGAGGGGGGGGGGGCCGGTTCCCCCCCCCCCGGCGGAGGGGGGGGCCCCCCCCCAAAAGTGGGGGGGGCCCCTCCCCTGAATACCCCCCCCCCCCCCCCGGGTCCCCCCCCTGCTCTCCCCCCAAGGGAAAGGGTCGCCCCCCCCCTCCCCCACCCCTCGCTCTTTGCCCGCAGCTCCGCCTCACCAGCTGTACCCGCTCGCGCCGCCAAACGCGCTCTGGGAGAGTCCGCCGCCCCACGCGCTCCCGCCGTACGCGCCAGCCACCTGCGGAGAAAAGGGGGGGGGGGGGGGGGGGAAGCTGGTGGTTCCCTCCCACCCAATCCTAGCACGGCTCCCTCCCGCCCATTCCTAGCATGGTTCAAGGCAGTCACCTGCGGTGGAACCGTCCCCGCGACGGCGACCTGCGTCGAAGGCACCGCCGGGCCGGTGCCTAATTCATTATTAAGAACGAGTACTCGCGGACTGTTATTCATTAACTGAGCAACCGCAAGGCCCGTGCCGGGCTGCGCTGCGTACGCGGCCGGGTCGAAGCTGCCCGGAACAGAGGCCGGCATCGGCGCCGCCCCCGGGGCGGCGGGGTTGTAGGGCAGCGGGTTGAGCTCTCCCTGCTCTTGGATCAGGCCGCACTCACCAATTAGTGGCGGGTGAATGACAATTAATTACGAATGAACGGCCTGCTCTTGGATCAGGCCGTACTGCAGCGCGGTCTGTCCACACACGAGTCAGCCGTGAAGAGACGCCGTCCACACCCCCTCCTCGAGGGCGGCGGAGGGTAGCTGCGAGGAGAGCAGCACCTGGTACTGCGGGTGGTTGACCAAGTGTGCCGGCTGCGGCGGCGGCTTGTAGGCCTGGCCGCCGTACGCGGTCTCCGGGTTGTAGCCGCCGATGCCCGCGCGCGCCGCCCCCTCCGACTCGATCTCGCGCACCTACAGTTAATTAAGAAGGAATGAGTCCGCCTCAATTCAGTCCGGCCCCGACTCCGAGTAAATCGCGCGCACGCGGTGCCAGATGATCTCCTTGCCCTTTTGCACGGCGGCGGGCGTGCCGGTGACGGTCACGACGCGCTCGCCTAGTTAACCAGTGATGACTACCCGTTAATTAACAACTAATAAATGATGCCGATGACGGTCACGAGCCGCTCGCCTAATCAGTAATTAATGACTGGTAATTCACAATGACTGGGCGGTCGTGCCGGTGAGGGCGGCCAGTCTGCTCGCCCGGGACGGGGCTCGGCTCGCCTATTCATAATTAAGAAGTGCTCAGTCAGTAACCAATCAGCAAGAGGGTAGCGCGGGGCGGGGCTCGGCTCGCCCTTTTGCGAGACGTGGATGCGCGTGCCCGACCGCATGCTGAGGTCCTTGATGCTGGTGCCGCCGCGCCTGTTAATTATTAATTGATAGTCAGTAGTTAATAACCAGGTCCGTGATGCGGGTGCCGCCGCGCCTGTTGATTACCAGTTAATGACTAAGTACTTATTAACTATTCGCAGGCTGTTGATGCTCGTCCCGCCGCGCCCGATCAGCCCAGACACGAAGCGGTCCGGCAGCGAAATCTGCTCCGAAGTTGACCTGTTCACAGCGGCCCGGTGTGAAAGGGGGGGGGGGCGTAGGAGGCGTCGTAGAGAGGTGTCGTAGGAAAGGGGATATGAGTGTCCTTGAAAACTGTCTCGGAAGGGTCATAGGGAGTGTCTCGGAAGTGTCTCGGAAGTGTCTCGGAAGTGTCTCGGAAGTGTCTCGGCAGTGCGCCGCACCCTCCCGACGCGTTAGCGGTCCCGTACGGCGCAACGACCTGCGGCTGCTGCTGCTGCGGCGGGTACCTGTCAATGAATCGCAACGGAGATGTTGCGGGCGATCGCTCAGAACTAAGCGGGGCTGCTGCTGCGGCGGCGGGTACCCCGGGTGCACTCCGTAAGGGTATGCCGCCGCCGCAGCAGCAGCAGCAGCAGCAGCAGCCGCCGCAGCCCCAGGTCCGCCAGAGGCGAGGGCGGCGGCGGCGGCCGCCGCGGCGCCGCCGGGCGGAGGGAAGGCGCCGGGGTGCGGGGGCGCCGCGTGGGCGTGGGGAGCGTACGGGTAGCCGGGCGGCGGGGCGCGGCCTACTCATTATCGCGAGGTGTTAATCATGACTCATTGACTAGGGCTACGGCCAGCCGGGCGGCGGGGGCGCGGGCCTATCAAACACCAACGAAGTGTCGACTGTCGGCTGTCAGTTGGCGGGGAGCGGGCCGGCGGTTCGGCGGGGGGCGCGGGCCGTGTGCGCCGTGCGGGAAGCCGCCCCACTCCGCCCCTCTGCCGGGGGGCGGGGCGGGCGGGGCCCGCAGGACCGAGTAGTCGGTCTCCCGGATCTGCTGCGCGGGCGGGGCCTAGAACAGAAAACAACAACGGAGGGATGACTCACTGGCCGCCTGCGTCTTCACGTCCTCCTGTCCCTCGGATCTGCTGCCCTGTGTGTGTGTGTGTGTGTGTGCCCCCCTGTGTGTGTGTGTGTGTGTGTGTGTTTGT